GATACGTGCGGGATACTGGGATACGTGCGGGATACTGGGATACGTGCAGGATACTGGGATACCTGTGGGATACTGGGATACCTGTGGGATACTGGGATACCTGTGGGATACTGGGATACGTGCAGGATACTGGGATCCATGTGGGATACTGGGATCCATGTGGGATACTGGGATCCATGTGGGATACTGGGATACCTGTGGGATACTGGGATACCTGTGGGATAAATTCAACTCTAACATTAATAATAATTTCAATTGCCCTGAAATTTCCTGCTGGCAGATTGTTTGAGCTCAACAAGCTGACCCCAAACCCCCCAGCCAGGAGGAGCTCTGGTCAATCCATGGCATGAACAGCTGCATTTTGGGTTCTGCTGAACTCCCTGAGCTCTGCCCAGGGCTGCTCAGCAAAACCAAAACTGAAATGGCCCAAAAGGGAACATTTTTGGAAAGTGTTTGAAAGTTTTTTTATCCCCCCAAAAGGGCCCCAACAAGCAACATTCTCATGCAGCAAAACCTCTTTCAAAAATAGGTTTCTACCTGAACTTATAAATATAAAATCACTGTAGTAATGGATTCTAATATACTCACTGGAGCAATATATATATTTATATGTATTAAAAATCTCTATATTATGTGATTTACAGCATGAAAAAACTACCAAAGGCAGTTCAGAACTTCAGAAGAAAGAACCTATAATAATAAGTGTATTAATAATAACATTCACAATAAGCATAATTACTAATAAGTGTGTCAATAATAACATTAATAATAAGTATGAGGTGCTTATTATTAATACTTATTCTGGGTCATATGGCTCCAAAACTCTGAAATTACACCAGGCAAGACTGAACTGGTTCTGGCTGCACTGAAACCCTGGGAAAAGCAAATCCCTGTCCCAGAGCTCCTGCTCAGCCCTGAGATGACTTAGATACATCTTTATATTAAAAATCCCAGGCTGGATTTATGTGCACTTTAAGGGGATAATAACCTACTCTTAGCTCAGATTAAACATTCCACAAGTTTAATACCCACAGAGTTATAAAAAGGACAATGTTTAAGGCTAAATTTTCCTTTGCCTCCTGACTGGTATCCAGCCCCAATTTTCTAAATTTAACAGCAATGCTATAATGGCACTTTCTTGTGAAGATAATTACTAATTATAATCCAATCACCATCTGAACTTCTCTTTGAATAAGCAAAAGGTTGGCTTTGATCTTTTGCCACAAAATAGGTTTTTCCACGTGAAATTGTCCATTATTTCTCGAGCTGTGATCATCAAACTGGTGTTTATTGCTCAGATGATTTCTTTAAGGCTTTTCAATTCAGAGTTTTCCAGGCACATATTTACACCTGGCAGGAGAATGGCAATAATGTGTTTTTCTCTCAAAGAAATACTGTCTTTAAAGGTGCCCCTGGATAAAATCCCTGTGTAAGCACAGCATCCCTGGGAACTGGTTCCCTTCCTGGGCAGGACAGCAAGGGCAGTGTGTGGGGATTTTTAAGCTACAGGAGAGGACAATGTAAGAGAAGTGGGGCTGGTGTGAAGAGAAACACCCACATTAAGGGGCCTGGGCAGGACCTTCAACAGCAGCTGAACCCAGGGACAGCCACCAACAAATCCACATTGTGGGGAACAGAACCACGGAATTGTTTGGGTTGGAAAAGCCCTCCCAGGACAGGGATCCACCCTGTGCCCAGTGCCCACCTTGTCACTGAGTGCCACGGCCAGGCCTTCCTGGGACACCTCCAGGGACTCCAAACCTCCCTGGGCAGCTGTGCCAGGGCTGAACAGCCCTTTCTGGGAAGAAATCATTCCCAGGTCCTTTTCCAGCCTTCCAGCCCCTCTGCCCCCAGCCTGGAGTGTTCCAGGGGGTTGTGGTGACCCAGGGGCAGGACCTGGCTCTTGGCCTGGTTGTCCCTCACACCACTGACCTCAGCCCATGGATCCAGATCCCTCTGCAGGCCCTTCCTGCCCTCCAGCAGACCCACATCCCACCCACCCTGGTGTCATCCACGCCCTGACTGAGGTGCCCTCCATCCCCACATCCAGATCATCAGTGAAGGTGTTAAACAGGGCTGGTCCCAGCTCTGATCCCTGTGTGACCCCCCTGGAGCCCATTCCCAGCTAGATGTGACTCCATCCCCTGGGCCACCAGCCGGGTTTAACCCGGTGAAGAACAAACAACAAACCCAAATATCCTGTTCCTATTTACACACTTTGGGGAAGCTGGGAAGCCCCAGGGTGGGTTCCTGGGCTAAAGGCTGTGCCTGGCAGCAGGGCTGGGCAGGGGGAGGCTGTGGCAGCCCCGAGTTACCCAGGAGGAGTGCTCCTTCATCTGGTGCTGGTTGCTGTGGGGGCCGCTGGCGTGGCCCCTCCAGAAGCAGCTCTGGCACAGCTGGTAGTTGTGGCACTGCTGGCACCGGTAGCGGAACCCCATCATGCTCTCACAGTGGCAGTAGGAGCACTCCACGGGGTGGAAGACTGCCAGGAAAGGGGGAAAAACAAAGGGAAAAAAAGCATCAGGTGGGATTCAGGGAAAACTCGAGTGTCCCGTTTCCCAAATCACCCCCCAGGGCCCTCAGCACTGGTTGTTCTGGGTGGGATTGTGAGGGGAATAAACCAAAGAGGAATGTGAGAGTGAGGGGAAGGAGACTAAAACTTCCCATGGGAAATGCATCCTGAAAGGGGAGGGAGAGGGAGCAGAACCAGAACCAGGGCCTCCCCATCCTCCTTCCCAGTCTCCCATCTCTCCCTGCCCTCTGGCAGTGGGATCCATTCCCTGTGTCCTGTCCCTCTGTCCCTTGTTCCCAGTCCCTCTCCAGCTCTCCTGGAGCCCCTTTAGGCTCTGGAAGGGGCTCCAAGGTCTCCCTGGATCCTTCTCTTCTCCAGGTGAGCACCCCCAGCTCTCCCAGCCTGGTTTCCATAAGTTCTCCCCCAGCTTTTCCAAACTGTCCCTTCCCTGGCTCCTGCAGAGATTCCCACTGATCAAAGGGGACAAAAGCACCACAGTGTGCTGAACCAAAGAGCCCAAACCCTGACAGGGTGATCTGGGAAAGCAATAACCCATTAAAAATAATAATGAAATTATTTTTGATAAAATAAACCCCGAGGCACAACCCCCACAGTGCCAGCACCCCATGGGCTGCCAAAGGCCCCACAACTGGGGGTAAAGAGGAGACTGGAGCAACCAGTATCAGGAATATTGGGATCAGGGGCAAGGCACCTGCCAGCAGGATGGAAACCAAAGGGGTGGGAGCTCTTTGGGGTGGCTGCAGGGCTTTTTGGGGTTTCACTTGCACACCCCACTTACCATTTTCAACGTGGGCGAGTCTGTGCATGAGAGGGAGCCACACAAGGCACTGGGGAGGAGGATCAGCCATCAACGTGTCCAAAAACATGTTTAGCATGATCTTCTTCTGCAGAGAAAAAGAGAAAGAGAACTTGGTTGCATAGGAAAATTCCAATTTCATACACCAAAAACTACTTCAGCCTTAAAATGTCTCCATGGCACAACTTGTGCCTCCCAGGAATATTTCACAGACTGTCTGAGAACCCTGGAATGCCAGACTGGTTTGGGTGGGAAGCTCAAAGGCCATCCAGTGCCACCCCCTGCCATGGGCAGGGACACCTTCCACCAGCCCAGGGTGCTCCAAATTATCCAGCCTGGCCTGGGACACTTCCAGGGATCCAGGGGCAGCCACAGCTTCTCTGGGAATTCCAGCCCAGCCCCTCCCCACCCTCCCAGCCAAGAATTCCTTCCTGATATCCAACATAAATCTGGAGCCTCAGCAGTTCTGAAATCAAAGGTTGTTTCCCACTGTGCCATTTCCCAAATGCACCAGCTGCTGATTAACTCACATTTAGTGACTACAGATTTTACATCTAAACGCTGCAAAAATATTTCTCCTGCAAAAACATCACCATGCCCAGAGCCTGAACATTTAATTTGGGGCTTAAGGTCGCCCAGGTTCGTGTTTACAGTTGAGTTAAATACTATTTATGTTATCTCAGACGAGAAACAAATCACTGGAACAACTAAATCACAGCTGAAATCGACTTCAAAAATAAACTGCCTGTGAAGAAGGTGTTTATTTGGTACAGACCCAGTTGAAAGGAATTGTGAAAAAGCTTTAAAAAGATCCACAGAAAATAGTAAAAATGCCACGTTTCATGTTTTGGAGCAGAAATGGCTCATCCCTGCTGCTCTGGGGGGGAACTGGGGCGTGACCTCAAGGAGGGGAATCAACTATGATGGTGGAAAATCCTTTAATTGCCTATTTTGGGCTGTCTTAAAACTGCTTGGGGTACCAGCAACCCCCTCCCCAAGCCATGGAGTTGATTTCCCAGGAATGC